CCCTAAATTTTGCGGACGTATAGCCTGCGTATTCATGTAAACAGCCATTAAATCACATAGTATCCTGCGTAGCAGTCGCTTTATTTATATATTGAAGGTTTTGAGGATTTTTGAATAAATGGCGGGTTAGAAAAATTTTTTCTTCGCCCCTTTTTTCTAACCCGCCATTTAATCACAAATCCTCAAAACCTTCAATTAAATAAGGCGACGGCTCTGCAAGCTAATCACATAGTCTGTGTTTCAATTCAAATTTAAGGCAGTTTGGCACAAACTATAAACCTTGATTTGCTATGAGTAAATATCGAGATTTTTGAGCGTAATAGAATAGAAACTTTATTTCACGAGGGAAAACGTATTAACCATAAAAGTTATCTAGAACGAACATACACGATAAAACTAACAGTTGAACTAACAGGGTTTTTTATCGATGCGGGTTTTTATCGTGCGGAACATTATATACAATTTTAGACCTAACGAGGAGGAGCTGCAAAAAATGCAACTATATTGGCCCTCTGGCAGGAATTGAATCTGCGGCCCTGCGATTCCTGTGCAGCGCTCTAACCAACTGAGCTATATAATTATCAGTCCTATAATCTCGAACATTTCGATCTACAAAACCCTTGATTTGCTATTACCTTTTCTGGTATTTAAAAAGCGATAAATGGAATGTCATATTAAGTGAATAAGTCCCTGTTATTGACTTATGAGATGCGTATCGGATGTTTTTCGTATTACCAAAAAGTCCCATTAGCAGTGATACGAATATTTTGATTAGTAATTTGCGGCCACATGTTATTTGCACTCCAGAGTATATGTGTTATTTGTTCAATTTTTGGAATGCGCGCTTTCAACTTTTTGGGCTTCAGATAAGGTCTAAGGCTTTGGTATGATTTCAATGCTGTTATTTAATCAGAGATAGATCTATATAGCTAATGCATTGCCAATATTTCACATGGCTAGGGCCCTGCTGTAGGATTGGGTGATAACCTGATAACATCATTCGCTTACGAGGTGGTCTTAACAATCCCGCTGTTGAAAGAAATCCAGCAGTAATTTCTTTTCCGACGGGAAGCGAGCGCAGATGTGTAAATTCAGCACTGCGTGTGCAGATCGGGGGCGAATCTGTTTCCTGGGGGGAGGGGGCAATTGCTCCCCAGTTACATATCGTTTAGAAAGGAATGGTGTGTCTGAAACACCGAAACATAGTGTGTTGCTGAGCATTTCGGCAGAACCAATGACATCACATTGGTTTAGGCTTATTTTCAACTTGAATCGTATCATAACGCAACGTAGAATTTTCTTTTGTGTCGAACTGAAGACATTACTTCCACTCCAGTTCTCAAAAAAGCAAATCATAGTGTTCAAGACATAGATTTAAACTCTGCAAATGAACCAGCGTTTATTCGAAAGCGGTTTGCATAACATGGCTGTTCTAAGGCTGTTCTTGTCTGTTCTGCTATAGATATTAAGGTCAAAGGTCAAGCAGTTGTTGACAGGTCATTGAACGCAACCAAATGGCGCAAAAATTTCTCGCGTTATCAAACCAAGACGTTAGATCTATATTTAACATTCCCACGGAGGCGCTTATTCGCCTCATTTAGCTTTCGTGTACATAAAATGTTTGCTATTTCATATTTACTTGGACAGAAATACTTTAATACTTCGGCTACGTTTACACACCGGATAGCTTTCTGTTGCGACGTGAAAAACACCTATCCCTACCTTTTAGGAAAGCTATTTTCAGAGGAATTATTGCAACGGAGAGTTGCTGTTTCGCTCAGCTCACATTCCGTATCGGATAGGTACTTTTCGGAAAGCTATAGACGTAGCTTAGGTAGCTATAAAAGTAGCCTAGGACTAATAGCGGCTGCTCAAGCCCCTACCTCGGTCTGCTTCACGTCAGTTCGGTTCAATCTATCTAGCTATTCATAATGTAACCAGGCACTGAAAAGCCCTGATAGGGAGTGTGCTGTGAAATATCTGTATCTAGCTATACTTCTGGTATGACTCTGGTTGAATTCAGAACCGTGTCTAAATTTTTCACGCTTTTGCCTATATGTCGCATGAACAGTGAAACTGGTAGAATTTGTGTACGGTTACGACGTTTCTGAGGTCTGGTGAAAACATAGGACCAAACACTACAGGTTTTCTCCAGGTAGCATGCGTGTATTATTCATGGGTGAGCAAGTTATCTTTTAGAGTCGTGTGGCAAGGCAAGTTATCTAGCAGATCCCACAGATTTTAATTGGCGGAGTCTTTATCAGATGCTGTGATACCATATCTCGGTATTGCTATGTCTTTCCTCTGTAACATAAATAATTGAATAGATTCCTGCCTGTGAACTGTCTACCGCCTCAAGGCGACACATGCCACCCAGATTGTATAAACAGAATGTTTGGGTGATGGTACATTGGTCCTGTTGTCTACATGTAGTTGTATGGTTATAATACCTCTTCAGACGCTCTGAGAAGAATGCTCCCACAAACTTTTTTTTCAAAGGGCTGAAATTTTTTGGCCACATCACATATTTCTTGCATTGTCGACTATTACATACTTCTGGCTTTTCAATTTGTTCCCCCCAGTTTTTTTTGCTCAATTGCCCAACTTTAATTTTTCTGGGGGAAGACACCCCCCCCCCCCCCCCCCCTC